GAGGCGGACCACATGGCGCAGCTGCAGCGGGTGCACGGCTTCCTCATGAACGACTGCCTGCTGGTGGCCACCTGGCTGCCGCAGCGGCGGGGCATGTACCGCTACAACGCCCTCTACCCCCTGGACGGCCTGGCCGTGGTCAACGTCAAGGACAACCCGCCCATGAAGGACATGTTCAAGCTGCTGATGTTCCCCGAGAGCCGCATCTTCCAGGCGGAGAACGCGAAGGTCAAGCGCGAGTGGCTGGAAGTGCTGGAGGAGACCAAGAGGGCCCTCGGCGAGAAGAGGCGCCGGGAGCAGGAGGCGGCGGCGGCCGCCCGAGGCCCGCCCCAGGCGGCTCCCAAGGCCGCGAACCCGTTCGAGGACGACGACGCCGAAGCACTGGCCGTGCCTGAGGTGGCGGAGGAGAAGGTGGACCTCTCGATGGAATGGATCCAGGAGTTGCCCGAGGACCTGGACGTCTGCATAGCCCAGAGGGACTTTGAAGGGGCCGTGGACCTGCTGGATAAGCTGAACCGGTACCTGGCAGATAAGCCCAGTCCCCCTCCCGTGAAGGAGCTGAGAGCCAAGGTGGACGAGCGAGTTCGGCAGCTCACCGAGGTGCTCGTCTTTGAGCTCTCCCCCGATCGCTCCCTGAGAGGTGGCCCCAAGGCGACGCGCCGGGCAGTTTCTCAGCTCATCCGGCTCGGCCAGTGCACCAAGGCCTGTGAGCTGTTCCTGAGAAACAGGGCAGCCGCGGTTCACACCGCGATTCGTCAGCTTCGCATCGAGGGTGCCACGCTGCTCTACATCCATAAGCTCTGCCACGTCTTCTTCACCAGCCTTCTCGAGACTGCGAGAGAATTCGAGACCGATTTTGCCGGCACGGACAGCGGCTGCTACTCTGCCTTTGTGGTCTGGGCAAGGTCCGCCGTGGGCATGTTCGTGGGTGCTTTTAGCAAGCAGGTGTTTGTCAGCAAGGAGAGCCTCTCCACGGCCGCTGAGTGCGTCCAGGTGGCCAAGGAGCACTGCCAGCAACTGGGCGACATCGGCCTGGACCTCACCTTCGTCATCCACGCCCTGCTGGTGAAGGACATCCAGGGGGCCTTGCACAGCTACAAAGAAATCGTCGTTGAAGCCACGAAGCATCGCAACTCCGAGGAGATGTGGAGGAGGATGAACCTGATGACGCCGGAAGCCCTGGCTAAGCTCAAAGAAGAGATGAGAAGCTGCGGGGTGAGCGACTTTGAGCAGTTCACAGGGGATGACTGCTGGGTGAACCTGAGTTACACAGTGGTTGCCTTCACCAAGCAGACCATGGGCTTCTTGGAAGAGGCCCTGAAGCTGTACTTCCCGGAGCTGCACATGGTGCTCCTGGAGAGCCTGGTGGAGATCATTTGGGTGGCCGTTCAGCACGTGGATTACAGCCTTCGGTGTGAGCAGGATCCGGAGAAGAAAGCTTTCATCAGACAGAATGCATCCTTTCTGTATGAAACAGTCCTCCCTGTGGTGGAGAAGCGATTTGAAGAAGGCGTGGGGAAGCCTGCCAAGCAGCTCCAAGACCTGAGGAACGCATCTAGACTTCTTCGTGTGAATCCCGAAAGTACGACGTCGGTGGTCTGACGCTTGGGGCTGTGTATATGTACACATATATATTGCTTATATGTTCTTTATGTTTATGTCAGGTTGCTTTGGCATGCTCTTTATGTTCTCAAACACAAGTGACAAAAGTAAAAAGCGCCCTCTTGGAAATGCAAAGTCAGAAAGAAAGAAGGAAATGTTAAGTTAAGCCTAAGTAACAGAAATATTGGAATTATTAAGATATTTAGTATGCTAGCTATCCTTTTTAAATTATGCTAATTCCCCACTGAATTTGGGGTCACACGATAGTATTTCGGTTTTTTGAAGTCGAAACACGCTTTCTCACGATATGTATTATGCAGCACAGAGTCATAATATCTGTAACTACATAGTTTGAATGTGTTATGAAAAGTTTCTCAGTTCACCAAAATGTTTCGTTCCTAAAGGGTACAGCGTCATATGAAGCACCTCGCCTCAGAAACTTCCCTCTCCTTAGAATGAATACTTTTGGGGGAAAAGAAAGGCGTTGGGAAAATTGGTTTTAGGCCAAATTTTAGTCAGAAGAATTCTTTCTTGAACCCGGCTAGTGTGTGGACTCAGATACTCCAGTCCTTATCAATACAAGAAGACGCTTTCATAAAAACAACCCGGCAAATATTGCCAGTGTAATTTGAATGGCCAATTTTCAGTTGCTAATTAGCAGTCTCATAATAATTTGATTTGGGAGCGTTTACTTGGAAATCTTAAGAATTAGGATAATTTTTCTTTTCCAATTGTGTGAGTTTCCAGCCGGAGTTCTGTCTTTGTCTTATTTTAAAAACGATAACAGTAACCAGGACACCTTGAGGAACCTGGCAGCAGCTGCTGGGTTTAACTACTCCGCTCCCCATTGCCACTTTCAGTGTAGGGCATGTAGTGGCTCAGATTGCAGATATAAAAAAAATTTTCATTGAAATATTTATCTAGACTTCATTGAAATATTTATCGCTGTCATGCCTTTTGGCTAAAATCAAGTGTAGATTTGATGGTCTAGGTGGATGGGAAATGAGAACAAATCATAGGCAAATCCCAATGTTCTCGAATGTAACCACGCAAAGATTTTTGTTAACAAAATTGTAATTTTGATTGTAACAAAGTGAAGAACAGAGTGAGACAATGTGCCCAAAGCAAAGGGAACTTAGGTGACTCCTGATGTGTGCTCCATTTTTCTTGTTTCATGTTTTATTTTCCTGGCTGTTGTTAAAAGTGAATATAATTTTTCAGATTGTTTAGTAAAACAAAAATAACTCAAGAAATGTGAGCTTTCCAAACTCTCCCAACTACTGTTCTCTTGTCTACTGAGGATATGACATTCCTTATACTCAGAACAATTTTGCTTGCTAAGATTCATTTATTCCCTAGCTTTTAGTTGCTGTTCTTGTCCATAGTATCATTTTTGATGCTGATGATTTCAAGTCATTTTTAAAAATCTGCATACAAATGGTGGTATTAAGACTAAGCCGGGCTCAGCCTGTAATCCCGTGCCTTTGGGAGGCTGAGGTGAGTGGATTGCCTGAGCCCATGGGATCGAGAGCCGCCTAGGCAATTTGGCGAGACCTCGTCTCTACAATAAATCAAAAAATCAGCCGGGCATGGTAGCGCGTGCCTGTAATTCCAGCTACTCGGAAGGCTGAGGCGGAAGGATCGCCGGAGCCCGGCGGGTCGAGGCTGTGGTGGCCGGGAGCAAGCCACGGCACTCCAGTCTGGACGACAGAGTGAGACTCCGACTCAAAAAAAAAAAAAAAGATCACTAAGAACTTTAGTTTGATAAAATTTTGTAATTACGGTATCTGTACCATTATCAGTTTCTCATATTGTATGAAACACATGTTGTGTAAATATGTGATGCTGGGTCCATGAAATTATACTTCTGAAATCAAAATTCCTCTTAAGGCATGAGATTGTAAATGCTTAACATGTGTATCCCCAGATATTTAAGTGGTTGCTTCTTCATAGAACTGTCTCCTTTTTAAAATTGGAAGTGCAGAATTTTCTTCTGTTAAAATTTGTGTGTTCCTTAATCAGAGTTGTAGCTGAAGGAAGTGTGCTTTTGGCGAATCAGTTGGGGTGGGAAGTTGATTAAGGACTACCAGTGTTGTAATAATGCACAGAACGATTATGTTGCATTCCTGGAAGTAGAGTCAGAGCTCTTCTCTCGAATTCTTTTGTTTCTTTGGACTCCAAAACAAGTTCTAAAAATTGAGTGCAGTTAGAGATTATCCAAAAATTTAGTATATCCTGAAATGTACCACTTACACATTAATTACTTTTTCTTGTTTTTGACAAGCATAACACTGTCACATGAGCTTGGAATCACAGACTTGACTGAATTAAATACTCTTGGAATTAAGTCTCTTTTTGATTAAGTCTAAGTGAATAAGCCTCACTTCATTTAAATGCTGAAAGCTAACTTTGTTTAAAATGCTACCTATAGTTTAAGGATTGGCACTGGTGTTTTTCAGCTTGAAATCTTACCTAGGATTGGGAATTTGGGACTTGACTTGTAGTATAAAATCAGTATATATATATATACATTTGCCTATTCATATGTGTGATCTGAGGGAATCTGAAATGTTTTGTAAAAATAAAACTGAAAAACTTGCTTACACTGGATAAAATTGATATTACTCTATATTTCTCTTTTTAAATTAGGATTTAATGTTCTTATTTTCTTGTTACTGAATTATTATTTGAAGAGCCTCGTTGGTTTACTTTATGTAGGGTGGACAGAAAGGAAGCTGTCTGCTAATTTATTTTATTTTACTTTTTTTGAGTTGGAGTCTCACTCTGTCACCCAGACTGGAGTGCCGGTCAGGTCAAGTGCACCGCAGCCTCGACCTGCTGGGCTCCGGCTGTCCTTCCACCTCCGCCTTCCAAGTAGCTGGAACCACAGGCGTGCGCTACCACACCCGGCTGATTTTTTGATTTATTGTAGAGATAAGGTCTCACCAAGTTGCCCAGGCAGGTCTTGAACCCGCGGGCTCAGGCAATCCACCCACCTCAGCCTCCCAGAGCACAGGATTACAGGCTGAGCCACTGAGCCCGGCTCTGTTTGCTAATTTAAATAAGTGTTCTGGTTGGGTACTGTGTCTCAGGCCTGTAATCCCAGGACTTGGAGAGATTGAGGCAGGAGGATTGCAAGAGCCCAGGAGTTCGAGACCAGACCTCATCTCTACAGAGAATAAAGCAGTTAGCCAGGAGTAGTGGCACATGCCTGTAGTCCCAACTACTCAGGAGGCTGAAGCAGAAGGATCCCCTGAACCCAGGAGGTCAAGGCTGCAGTGAGCCGTGATTGTGCCACTGCACCCAAGGATGTGTGATGGAGTGAGATCCTGACTTAAAAAAAACAAAAATAAGTCTTTGCTTACTGTCAAAAGTGTGACTAAATCAGATCTCAATGTTTTAGGATTCCCTTGAATGGAAAATTTCCTGTTTTTGAATTTACTCTAAAAAGTAGATTTTACTCCATCTGCACATTTATATAAAAAAGAAGTAGGCCACAAGACCTAGGAATCACATGACAAGGTTCTGCTTTTTCAAAGTAATGTGTAAATACTAAGGAAATGATTCCATGTTTAAAAGTATTGAATGCTGGGCTTCACGTTGACTGTCATGGGTGTGGGGGGATGATATACCTTTAAGCACGCTCTTTTTCTTTTCTATTTTTAAGATGCTTAAAAATGGGAAAAAGCCAACAAATCTAAGTTTGAGCATAATTAAATGTCCAGTAGGAACACTGAGAAGGAAGAGAGCAGCATACTCTGAAGGATTTTCAAAAGTTCTCATGGAATTGTTGGAATTTGAGCTGGTCCTCGAAGAATGGGCATGACTTTTTTTTTTTGAGTCAGAGTCTCACTCTTGCCCAGGCTGGAGTGCGGTGGCCGCTCCCGGCTACCGCAGCCTCGACCTGCTGGGCTCCGGCGATCCTCCTGCCTCAGCCTTCCAAGTAGCTGGAACTACAGGTTCAAGCCAGTAATCCTAGCACTTTGGGAGGTGGAGGTGAGAGGATTGACTGAGCTCGGGCATTTGAGACTAACCTGAGCAACATGGCGAGACCTCGTCTACAATAAATCAAAAAATCAGCCAGGCATGGTGGCACACGCCTGGGGTTCCAGCTGCTTGTAAGGTTGAGGCGGAAGGATGGTCTGAACCCAGAAGCAGGTAGAGGATGTGGTGGCTGTGAGCGTGCCCCTGAACTCCGGCCTGGGCAACAGAGTGAGACTCCGACTCAAAAAAAAAAGTGCTGGGATTATAGGCGTGAGCCACCGTGCCCGCCCTGAGTGGGCAAGATTTAAATATGCAGCAAGAAAGGAAGAGCACGATCCCAGGAGAGACGCAGAAGTGGGAACATGGGTGACCCATGGGAGACTGCAGAGTGTGGAGAAAGAGAGCAATGCCTGCTCATCCGGGAAACTCCAAGTCATGGGGCAAGAGGCGAAAGGTCGAAGACCTCGCCTCCACCCAGGGCCCAGCAATCCTCCTAGAAGGAACCCCTGGTAAGAGTTTCACATGTCCCCCCCGCCCCAGAAACTGGATCACGCTGCATATAGATATATGGTTTTGCATCTTGCTTTTAGTCACTTAACAACTCTATATTTTAGAAACATCTTTTCAGATCGATTCCTGTAGTTCTACCTCACTGGATATTTTTTCTGTGAATAGTGTTCAACCATGGTGGGTGATATTTTTTTATTTTCCAGTTACTTTGTCAGCTTCAGATTTTGGTGATGACAAAAAAATTCTGAAAAAGTTCCATAGATGGATGTATGGATAGATATTTGCGATGCATTCTTTTGTGAATATAATTATAGGATGCGTTTCTAGAAATTGCTCTGCCAAACTGTACGTTTTAAGTTTAAGTAAACACTGCCAAATTGCTCATTTTACATTCTCCCCAACAGTATAGGAAAATACCTCTTTCCATGAATGCCCATAAAAAATTCATTCATTTTTAAAATAATAAGAGTCGTCTTTTTAGGAATAAAATTTATTTATTTTTACTAACCTGGGTCATTCAATAGACTTTTATATTTTCTTTAATATTTGAATGCATCACTTTTCAGAACATTAAATAAAAAATTTAAGTGTGTGACCTTAAAAGTAAGATTAATTTTGTAGTATCTTTTCAGCACTTTATACATAGTTAAGTCTGAGAATACTTTTTTTGTATGTTTGTTTGTTTTTTGTTTTTTTTTTTTTGAGTTGGAGTCTCACTCTGTCACCCAGACTGGAGTGCAGTGGCCGCTCCCAGCCACCGCAGCCTCGACCCGCTGGGCTCCGGCGATCCTTGCGCCTCAGCCTCCCGAGTAGCCAGAATTACAGGCATGTGCTACCACGCCTGGCTGATTTTTTGATTTATTGTAGAGATGAGGTCTCGCAGCCCAGGCGGGTCTCGAACCCGCAGGCTCAGGCAATTCACTCACCTCAGCCTCCCAAAGGCGCGGGATTACAGGCTGAGCCACCGAGCCTGGCTGTTTGTTTGTTTTTTTTGAGTTGGAGTCTTGCTCTGTCGCCCAGACTGGAGTGCAGTGGCTGCTCCCGGCCACCGCAGCCTCGACCTGCTGGGCTCTGGCGATCCTTCCACCTCAGCCTTCCGAGTAGCCGGAACTACAGGCACGCGCTGCCACGGCCCGCTAATTTTTTTATTTATTGGAGAAATGAGGTCTTGCCAAGTTGCCCAGGCGGGTCTCGAACCCGTGGGCTCAGGCCATCCACTCACCTCAGCCTCCCAAAGGCGCGGGATTACAGGCTGAGCCACTGATCCCGGCTGAGAATACTTATTTTTAAAGATTTTTTATTTTGAAAATTTTCAACACATACAAAGTAACAGTTTAATAGAATGAATTTTTATATACTCATTACCCAGCTTCAACAATTAACAGTATTCTGTCATTGTCCCAACGCCATTCAAGAACTCCCTGGCCGGGCTCGGTGGCTCAGCCCGTCATACCAGCATTTTGGGAGGCCAAGGCGAGAGTATTGCCTGAGCTTAGGGGTTCAAGACCCGCCTGGACAACTTGACCAGACCTTATCTCTACAATACATAAAAAATTAGCCGGGCGTGGTAGCGCGCACCCATAGTTCCGGCTACTTGGAAGGCTGAGGCGGAAGGATCGCGGAGCCCAGC